GAATTGGATTGAACCTAACTGCTCGCGAACAATATGGTAAAACTTATCTCGACGCTTTCTTGTTTCGATCAGACAATACCACTGGCGTATCGTGAATTGACTGGAGCAGGGCCGCAGCCAGAGGCCGCGCTTCATCAGCAAGCTGACGTCCAAGGTGACGTCAGCGCGCCATCACGGCGCATCTCGCCAGTCCGGAGGAGGGGCATACTCTCTCCAGGACGAGGTGGGCGCTTTTTGGCTACCCGGCTTTTCTTCTTCTGACGTCTTGCGACCTTTTTCTCCTGACCTCTGGAGCTCTCCTTTTGAATGAAGTCGTACGGTCTCTCCTTTTGCTAAGGTGTCCTATTTCGTCGTTCAAATTGTTGCCCGAGCTGTCCATTCGTAACAAAGCTGATACTAGCTTTCTGAACGGTCAAGTGAAGTGTATCGCTGCCGGGAGACTCCATCAAATTCGCGCCAGACTACAATATCTAAGACTACTTGGAAGTAACTAGAAGAGGGCAACTTTTTCTCCCGGCACGACCCTTTCTGTCACTGCCATCAGCTGATATTGTGCGGCTGCTTAGGAGATGCTCGTTCCGAACAAAGTTCAACTCAATTGTTCTTAGCCGCAAGCGTTCATCTGCAAAGCTTAATATTGACAAGCAAGACGGTAAACCGATCAACAGAGTGCTTTTGCGCTCTCTTTTCATTTTCATAACACTTTGATTGTCGAGAAGCAACCGGGAATCCCCAAAAAACAGATTGCTCAGCGACGAAGAGGAGGTTGGCACCTTGATAAGCTTTCGCACTACTCGCTTGCGGACAACGAGAAGTTCTCTGGTTGAACGCAAGCAGCACCCCGGAACAATTGTTGTACTTACCCCATGCAGATTTGTAAGTCGAGGAAGAAGAGCACGCTTCCATACGCGTATGGCTGTCATGGCGGATAAGACGCGTTAGTGGACCCCTGAAGGATGACATCATGTTGAGGCTTCTCGAGATGAACGTTTGATAAGGGGCTTGCTTTTGGTAAGAAGATTCTGACGAGGCTGTCATCGGCAACTGCTGGAAATGAGGCTGAGGGCCCGACGTCGGTTGTAGGTATGATGTAGAAAAGATTGTTAGCCGTGACAAACAAGGGCTCATGACGGAAACACCTACGTGTATTGGGCAGCTGAAGATAGACCGAGCGTGGGTAGCCGTTACGCGTCCGCCTCTCAGCGTGGACAACAGAAGAGGCAGCGCGGCGTCATTACTTCACGGGCACCACTTTTTTGAGACTAGAGCTAGACATTGAGACGTTGATCCTTGCAGTGGTGTAAGACTTCAATTGACCTCGTTCGCATGTGGGTGTTACCAATGTCAAAGCTGTGACTCTCCTGCTTTCTATTCATTTTTGTCCGTATCTGACAAGGGGGCGCTCGCGTCTCATTCCGCATGACCCCGGCATGTGTCACAGAAAAACCTTGAATGCATCATCATGGGACCGCTTTTGGATGCACTAACGAGTGCAGATCTGAATGTAAATAGAGCCCGCATATAGCAGTTCTGGTGACGCCAGCAATCTTTGTTTGATACCTTTTGACATGACCATCCAATCAAGAGTAGGAAACCCGTTTGCGCTGGGGCGTTGACAGCTATGGGCGCGGCACAGCTTCCTTTGAAAGCCGATAGGATGCAGAAGCTTATACTTAAGGTGACAGCATATAATTGTACATGCAGTCCGAGCGCAGCATCGACACGAGCGCTAGGGGGGAGCATTTGAGAGGAGGTGCGAGAAACTTTTTGATCAATCTGCCGGAAGCGGCCCCCACAAAGAACAAGAGCAACCTCTAAACACGAGGCAATATTATGGGCGGCGGCATGATTCAAATGACCGGCTTACAGAAAGTGTGCGCTGCAATGATCATGTAACGGCACGACTGCGCACCGACTTCTGGCTGCACGCCAAACTCGCGGCCGCGCATCGTCCGTTATTATACGCTATCGACTTATTGATATATCGAATCACTACACGACACGTGTCCAGGTTAC